CGTTATTTCCCTTATGAGAAACAAACTTTGTTTCTCATGTTGAGAAACAGGGAATTTCCCTTTTGAGGAGAGATTAAGTTGAATAATATTTGCTATCTTTCCTAAAAAAAAAAACTATGTTCGTTTAATTCTCTCAAAAAAAAAAAAAAAACTATGTTGGTTTAATATATGTAAGTTTTATTGCAGATTCTTAATTATGCGAAAGTAAATTCCACAAGTTGCTCGAGGTTCTGGCTGTGGACAAATAATTAAGGCGGTAGTACACATACGAGAGTGTCTTCACTTGTGGTATATATATCTGAACCATTCTTTGCAATATTAACTTATTTGTTGTGGTATAACGATTGTGAATTGTATGAGATTTTAAATTGTGATATAACTGATTGGAATTGCAATAATACTTGCATCATTGGCTTAGATTCCCGTTCAGGGCTTACTCATCAGGAGTAAGTCTTAAATAGTCCCCGGTTTGGGACTGTTCTTGAATGTTCTATCTCATTTAGGTGATAACTACTTGAACTGTTTTTGGGTCTAAGAAGATCATGGCTCACTATTTCCCAATCGTTCTCTGGGTACATATGTAGATAGCCAATTATCTACATTGTGTGCTTGGAGAACTATAGGGAAATGCTGCCGGATTTTCTATAGAACCAAATTTTACAAGTAGTTATTAGTGAGATAGGACATTCAAGAATGGGTTAGGTTGGAGTGATAAGGACCTTGTTGGATCATGTCGTTGCATTTACATGAGATAAACCTTGAATGAAAATGTTTGATGCCTTATATTCTTGTTTATGGTTAAGGAGCTATATATGTTAGAAAATATACACATTATCTTAAAATTAATTTTGTTATTCAGTGGTTGAAAATGGATCGAAGTTGAATGTATGGTAAACGAAATTGTACAAGTTTTTTACGAGGAATTGAAGAGTTTAGCACTGTTGCCTTAAAACACCAAACAGAGAATAAATCAAAGATTATTCTTTGTCCTTGTTGTGACTGTAATAATTCGAGGGGATATCGTGATATAGATGATATTAAAGATCATCTAATTCGTCGTGGGTTTAAAGAAAACTACACAAGGTGGACATGGCATGGTGAGAGCATATATATTGAGGCAAGTTCTAGTTTTTGACCAAGGGAAGATGAGAATCATTATGATGATGATAATGAACACCAAGGTGAGGATATCGATACATCTGATATTGGTGTTGAAAGTGAGAGTGAAGTGGAGAAGGACAAGATAGATGAAATGATGCATGATGTTGAAGACCATTTCACAGAGTGTCCACAGACATATGATAGTATTTTGAGAGCTGCAGAAACCCCGTTATATCCTAGTTGTACAAAATTCACTAAACTTGGTGCAATTATGAAGTTATTCAACTTAAAGGCAAGCAATTGTTACACCGACAAGGGTTTTACGCAGTTGTTGGAAGCCTTAGTAGAAATGTTTCCCGAAGGGAATAAACTTCCAAACTCCACCTATGAGACTAAGAAACTTATGTGCCCTTTGGGTATGGAGTATGAGAAGATACATGCTTATCCTAATGACTGTGTGTTGTATCGAAATGAGTATGCTGATTTGCATGAGTGTCTAAGGTGTGGAGTTTCTCGTTACAAGATGAATGATACTGGTGAGTTGTGTAAGAAAGGGTCTCCCGCTAAGGTATTATGGTATCTTCCAATTATAACGAGATTTAGGCGACTCTTCTCAGATGAAAAAACTGCAAAATTATTGAGGTGGCATGCTGATGGGAGGAAGAAAGATGGGTTAATGAGGCATCCAGCTGATTCCCCGCAACGGAGGAACATTGATCGAAAGTTTAAGGACTTTGGTAAAGAAGATCAAAATCTTAGGCTTGGTCTTAGTACAAATGGAATGAACCCATTTGGGACACTAAGTACCCAATATAGCACTTGGCTAGTTCTTCTAACTATCTACAATTTGCCTCCTTGGTAATGCATGAAGTCTAGATACATTATGTTGTCCCTTATAATATCTGGGCCTAAACAACCTGGAAATGACATTGATGTGTATCTAGCGCCTCTAATTGAAGATTTGAAATTGTTGTGGAATGAAGGTGTCCAAATGTTTGATGCATATAGTAAAACCAATTTCACTTCACATGCCATGATTTTTTGTACGATAAATAACTTCCCAGCGTATGGGAATTTGTCAGGGTACACTGTGAAGGGAACAACTCCTTGCCCCCTTTGTGAAGATGATTTTGAGGCATTACGCCTAGACAATTGTGGCAAGCATGTATACATGGATAATCGCATACATATTCCTAAAGACCACCCTTATCGATTCAATAAGGATGCTTTTAATGGAAAAGTGGAGTTGAGAGCAGCTCGTCGCCCTTTACGTGCAAGTGAGGTTTATCAGCGGGTCAAAGACATTGAGAATGAGTTTGGTAAGCCTTACAAAAGCAAATTAACTGGGGGTTACAAGAAGAAGTCTGAACTATGGTCTCTTCCATATTAGAGACATTTGGAAGTTAGACATAGTCTAGATGTAATGCATATTGAGAAAAATGTATGTGATGCCATTGTGGGAACTTTATTAAATATGCCAGGAAAGACAAAGGATGGAGTTAAAGTAAGAAAGACAGTGCTGCTATGGGTCATTTAGAGTTGGCACCCGAATCTCGAAGAAAACGCTGGTATCTTCCCCCAGCTTGCTTTACCTTGTCTAAAAAGGAAAAAACTAGCTTCTGTGAGTCATTGCATGGTTTAAAGGTCCCGGCTGGATATTCTTCTAATTTTCGTAGACTTGTGTCAATGTCTGACTTGAAATTGGGTGGCATGAAATCTCATGATTGTCATGTCTTGATGCAACAATTATTACCAGTTGCCATTCAAGGAATTTTGCCACCTCAAGTGAGGTATACGATTACAAGATTATTTATCTTTTTTAACACTATCTGTAGCAAGGTCATAAATCCAAGTATTTTAGATGACTTGCAAGCATATGTACTTGAGACAATGTGTCGATTTGAAATGTATTTTCCCCCATCTTTTTTTGACGTGATGCCTCATTTGGTTATTCATTTTGTACGTGCAATTAAACTTTGTGGACCAGTGTGTATGAGATACATGTATCCTTTTGAACGAGAAATGGGTAAATTAAAGGGAAAAGTCATGAACCCGGCCAAACGTGAAGCTAGTATTGTACAACGAACAGTTACTGAGGAAGTGGCAGCATGGGTTGCTCAATATCTTGCACGTTCACAGAAAATTGGGTTGCCAAAGTCTCGACACGATGGGAGGCTTGGAGGTCAAGGTTCTATTGGCAGGAAAAGGATATCCATGGGCTTTGAAATGAAAAATAAGGCCAATATTTTTGTATTTCAAAATCTTAGTGAGGTTCATCCTTACTTGGACGAGCACATGCTTTTTCTTAAAAATAAATATCCTTCCAAAAGTGATCTTCAGCTGATAAAGGAGCATAATTGTTCATTTGTTACATGGTTCAAGGAACGAGTGATGTCCCAACTGTCCACCACACCTAACGATATATCTGACACATTGAGATGGTTGGCATATGGTGCTAAATGTCAAGTCATGTTATATGAGGGATACGACATCAATGGGTATTCTTTTTACACTAGCCAACAAGATGACAAGTAAACTATGCAAAATAGTGGTGTTAAAGTAATAGGTTTGTCATCTGAGTATGTTAGTGCACATGATAAAACATTTGTTGATAAGAAGAAATTTTATTATGGAATCATTGAAGAAATAATAGAGCTGGATTATGTTGATTTCAAGATTCCTCTATTTCGATGTAAGTAGGCTGATAGTAGCCGTGGTGTAAAAAAATATGAACAAGGGAACTTGACCCTTGCAAATATTGGTCGACGAGGGCATCTAGCTGAGCCATTTATATAAGCTTCACAAGAAAAACAAGTTTTTTACATGGCTGACCCAGCTGATTGTAAATGGTCAGTTGTTTTAGAAGGTAAAAGAAGGATACTTGGCATTGAAGATATGGTGGGCGAGGAAGAATATGATGAGCAATTTAATGAGTCACCACCTTCCGTTTGGAGCATCCCTCCAATAGTCGATGATTTTGACACAACGTTGAAACGTAAAGATCATAATGAAGGATTTTATGTCGCAAAAGAGAAGAATGAAGTAGGTATGAATTATGTGATTTTTTTTCCAATATGTGTTACTAATTGCATAAATTGCTTATTATTGTTATGTGTACAAGTTTATAATTTTAAATTGATACAAATCGATGTCTTAATTTATTTATGTTTTTTTTTCAGGTAAGTAGTAATGGAGGATGAGGATATTCATAATCGTTTCATGTCTTCGCAAGGTGAGGAAGATGAGCCACACAATCAATCACAATCACAGCAACAAACAACTGACTCTCAAAAGAAGAAAAAGAAGCCAAGAGGTCCTTCAAAGGGCCTGAAATCCATGCCTGGGGTTCCTAGAGTGCTTGAATGGGATGAATTGTGTCGACCCAATGAAAAGTGGGCAAAAGCATACAAAACTCATCTTGGTGAAATAAGCCGTGCAAAAGTGTCTATATTGTATAAAGATTGGAATCAAGTTCCACAAGGAATAAAAGACACTTTGTGGGAAGATGTTAAGGTAATATTCACTATTAAATGTTAAATGTTATACTATTATATGATCATTATGACATTATTTGAATATGATGAAAACAATTTATTTGAATATGATGAAATTATTTACTAACTCTATTTCTTATGGATTTTAATTTTTTTTTTGTAGAGAAAGTTTTAAATCGAAGAAGATGAAGACAAGAAAAAAAGGTCCTACGCACTTGTGATAAAACTTGGAGAGATTTTAAAATAAAATTGGTTAGTGGTTGGATCACATGTACCAGGAATATGCCGAAGGAGAAAATAATTCTGTATATACTCTATGATTTCATATCTGAAGATATGTGGAAAACATTTGTGGAGGAGCATAGTACAGATGATTTTAAGGTTTGTGTGTATTAATATCAATGATCATGCATGTTATTGGTCAGTGGTTGGATCACATGTTATTAATAGTACTTTGTTAATGGATTTTTATGTACTATTCTCCATTTATGCTCGTGAAAATAGGAAATCAGTGAGAAGGCAAGACAAATCTAGTCTTTCAACGAATACCCTCACCATTTAGGAGCCAAATCATATGGTGAAATGAATATTATATGGCGTAGAAAAGGGTATATTCCCACAGCATCTTCAGCATCCAGTACTTCATCTTGTTCTTCGGTTGTGTCTAGTTTGCCGGATAGGACTTATGCTTGGCTTCTAGCAAGATCAATAGAAGATGATAAGGTAAATCCTTATTTGCCGGATGAGAAAACAAGAGAGGTGAAAGAATCCATTGTAAGTTTATAATAAGTCTTTATTTCAATTTTGAATATATTTTGTTAAGTTTATGTATTGCAACCAAAGTTTTCTAACTTGAAGTCTTTGTGTAGGATAATTGGAGAAAGCAACAAGCTGATGGAAAATTTGTTCCTAATAGGCATGATGATATCTTATCTCGTGTCCTTGGGAAAAAAGATCGTAATGGTCGGGCAATAGCATTTGGTAGTGGAATTGGCATTAAAGCTGTATGGGGATCCGGAGAAAGGCTTAGTGGCCGACGGGGTAGGGAAATCGGAGATGCTGAGCTGGAAGAATTAGAGGCAAGAGTAGCCCGGAGGGTACGAGAGGAGACTATGCAAGAGATGGACTCTAAAATGGATTCCATGGTTCAATAGAAGTTTTTGTTATTTTCTAAACAGATTGGTATTCAAATTCCAACTGAATTGATGGAAATGAATAACATAGATCGGACGACTCCACAAAATCCTAGTAGTTGCCAATCAGTGGGTGATTATCCATTCGCAAACATACATGTATCCAAAAATTTGTTATTTTATTTTTATATCTTTTTTTTTCTTTTTGTAATGATTTATGACTACGATATACTTTTAACTTTGTAACTCAATTTCCTTATTTTTTTGTAATGATTTTTTTTCCTATCTTTGTAAGGAACCGGTTCCATGTCGGCTATCATTATTGAAAAATAACTTTGAGAAAGTCATTGTTGCTGAAGGTACATATCATCCGGAGTTAATCCTTGATTATCATAGTAACCTCCTGCCAGATCACGTGAGGGTAAGTGTTGATGATTTTTTTGACGAAGTCAAAGAATTCTCGGTTCCAGTTCCTTCTTCAGTCATCAAGAAACTTAAGCATGCTCACGGTACCTTTACCCAATGGCCGAAAGACTTGGTTTCACTCATGCATGACAAGGTAAATTATTTTTATAACAATTTACATAGTTTGCCATACAAATATAGCAAATTGTTGAATAGATTTGCTTTACTATTGATTAGGAATTCATATCAAATAAGAACGATGATAACACCAAAGCGGCCAAAGAAAACATGCAAGACAAAGTGAAAGTAGTTGAAAGTGGTCACGAAACAAAAGAGTCCAACACCAATCCAGAAAAAGTTTTTCTTATGGGTTATGCTTTGGAAAACTTGTCTCACAAGTGTGGGTCTTTGAATAGTTTGTTATCTTCATTACCCGAAGGTGAAACTATTAAGGTAAAGGTTGATTCTTGGACCTTTAGTTATGAAGACAGTAAGGACATCATTATCAAACGTGAAGATGTCAATCAACTTCTCACGGGAGCTTGGCTGAATATTTCAATTTTGCAAGTTTTTATGATTTAAGATATTCAAATTTCACTCTTCCCATATATACTTTATTACAATTTATAATGTTATTACATGATATATATGTAGGTCCTTGTGTGACATACTCGATACGGTGGATGTGGCTTCCATTGGATTCATGTGTCCGAAAATGATTTCAGAAACCTACTTGCATAGTGATGCAGATCGTATCCTACTATACATAACATGTGATGGAAAAACAAAAATCTAAGCAGTTCATCTTATGCCCATACCATGAAAAGTATAAACTTTGAACTTGTATTTATTTGAACTTTGCAAATTGTTGATATTATTTTACTCATTTACAAATGTGTGTCTAATTTATTATGTAGGAATCATTGGGTTCTTTTGGTCTTATGCATGGCTAAACGTGAAGTCATCATCTTTGATTCTTTGAGGCAGAAGCGAAATTTAGCAATTAAGTTTGCAATGACAAAATAAGTCTAGTTTGTTATTAATGTCATGATTTTATGTGTGTGTAAGGATAATAGATGGTTTTACATATTATGTATAAATATGTTATTTTTTTCAAATGTGTAGTGCTTTTTGAAGTTTCAAGGCATTAAGTGGACAATATAGGGGAAGTAAATTGACATGGCATTTGGGACAGGTTACCTTAATTTCTTACCCTAACTTTTAGTTTCTTAATAATTTAAGTATAGCAATTCAATTCAACTTATAAATATATTACATGTAGTGTCCTCAACAATTGGAGGGACGTGAGTGTGGCTACTACGTCATGCGTTATATGTACGAAATACTTGAACATCATCATAGCAGTGAGGATCTTATTAAGGTATGAGTTGTCAAATATTTCATTTTTGTTTGATAAATACAATTTGATGTTAGTTACAATCTTGAATTAAAACTTTCCTCTTGTATATTTTTTGTGTTGATAGGATTTTTCAAGAACTACACCGTATACCGAGGAGGAGATAAATGAGATTCGAGATATTTGGGCAGAGTATTTTATATGTAATGTTGAACTTTAGATTTACACTTAGCGCATGTTGGACTCTTGTTTTGGATTATAGGCTTGACATGAATGATTTTGGCTAATTGGTGTTGGGATGATGAGTATAATGTCTATGATATTGAGATGTAAATTATTAGACAGGTTGTTAATATAATGCCGTCATTGCCAATTTTCTGGGTAGGCCAAAATACAAAGGAGACTCTGCCGAAATTTACATTTGCATTCATTAATATTGCATTTTAATTTCAATTATTGGCGTTAGCATATTACTTTATACCACTAGCAAGGAAAACATGTACTACAAACATATAGAAGCAATTATTATTATTTTAAAAAAAATTCACATCATTTGCGTCACTCATTAAACAAACAAGTGACGCAAATAACGCAATTTTCTATTGTCTAGTCAGTCATTTGTGTCACTCCTATATAAACAAGTGACGCAAATGAAGCAATTTTGTATTGTCTAGTCAGTCATTTGCGTCACTCCTGTATAAACAAGTGACACAAATAACAAACAAGAAGTTGCTTAGAACAACTATTTGCGTCACTCCATTATAAATGAGCGACGCAAATAACCCTTATTCGCGTCACTTGTTTATAAAGGAGTGACGCGAATGACTCTTATTTGCGTCGCGACTAGGAACGACACAAATGACTTTTAAATCATTTGTGTCGCGAGTAGTTGCGTCGCGAGTAGGAGCGACGCAAATACACTATAAATGAGCGACGCAAATGAGTCTTTTTCTACTTGTGTAGATGCCTATTATTAGAGCAGGTTCAATCTCTTTTAGGTTTAATTTGTACCTTCATCCCCGAACTTCCAGTCATGGTCTTAACCTATTGGAGTTGACGATCTCATGGATCGTTATGGGGTGTAACCTTCACCCTGTGAACGGTTTATAAATTCCTAAAACTTTTTGGCGACTCTTTTACTCTAGCTTCCTTCCCTTTGGACGTCACCATGCTTAAGTGCATGATCACAACGTTGTTCAAGATTGGGGCAATGCTTGAAATATTCCCTACACAACCTGATCAATTGTTTGATTAATTGTTATTAATTAGAGTTGGAATCGAAAGATCACTACAAAAAAACTAAGCCATTTTGCGACATTGTCGCAAAAATAGCAAAAAAACGTCACAAAAAATAGTTGCGACAATCAACTGTCATAATTAGTTTGTCGTAGTATCAATTGTCGTAAAATTTTACTTTTACGACAATTTTGGCAGTCGTAAACCTTTTTTACGACGGTTTTATTAAGACTTATTTGTGAAAAACTACCTTATACAAGTTTTGTGTTTTTTTTTTGTTTTTAGTGATAAACTACCTTCTAAAAAATGTTGTAAGAAACTACCTTTTAAACAATAGATGTTGTTAGAAACTATCTTATAAAATAATTAATGTTGTAAAATACTACTTTTTGTCGAATTATTGCATGGAATAAGACATATATAATGACACATTTTCAATCATTTTTTCTCCTTTTTCCATCCAATTTCTCCATAGCCTCCCTATAACCCCTAATTCCCTTTCTCTTTCTTGGTTAAATTAAGCACATGGTAACAACTTACAACATTAAGTTTTTATAAGATAGTTTCTTACAACAATTTTTATACAAGGAAGTTTTTCACAAAAATTTATGTATATAAGATAGTTTTTCACAAAAAGTCCTTTTATTATAATTTCAATAATAGTTTAATTTTTTTTCGCTGTAATTAATCTGCGACAGTTTAAAATCGTCATAAACAATGACGACCATAAAACTATCGCAAAAACTAACTTTAATGATGTCTAGTCGTCGCAAAAGTTAAAAAAAAAATTCATTAAAAAAAAAATGAAACCCCCAACCCAACCACATCATCCCTCCTTTAACCAGTACCCACTCCAACCGCACCGAAAACAACCAAATTAACCCATAAAAGAAATTAAAAGCCACAAACAACCCTAGATCTGAAATTAATGAATGTGGTTTTCTCCATGTCTTCCTCGACCATCAATACTTGATTATACCTGATGTACCCATCCATGAAGGAGAGGAGTGCATGGTTTGCTATGTTGCCGACCAGAATGTCGATGTGAGGTAGAGGGAACCCATCCTTTGGGCTTGCTTTGTTGAGATCCCTGTAATCAACACACATTCTGACCTTTCCATCTTTTTTTGGAACTGCACACACATTGGCTATCCATTCTGGATACTTGGACACTTTGATGAAGCCTGCAGCCAGTTGTTTCCTAATTTCTTCTTTGATTTTGAGTGACACATCCGGTTTCATGCGACGTAACTTTTTTATGACAGACTGCATACCTGGAATGAATGATATCGTAGCTGAGCTATGTACCTGTCAATACCTGCCATATCTTGGTACGACAAAGAAAATACATCAACAAATTCACTAAGCAAGTTAATTAGCTCTTTGCGCTCGTCATGACTTAGTGTTAATCTAATTTTAACTTCTTTAAGAGTAGTGTCATTGGAAATGTTAACTGTTTATATATCATTAACTATTACATTTTTATTATCGTGTTCTTTCATTGATTTTATTATTTCGTTGTCATTTTCATCATTAGCAAAGAAATATTGATCAGGAATAGGAGAATGACACACATCGTAAGCAAAGGTACTCTTTTAATTGAATTCATTAAACATTGCATCAAAGTTGGCAAGGTTAGTTGCAACCTCGTCGGAATTATTTGGCATATAAGGAGGAGACTCGACAAGAGACTCAAAACTAGGAGGAACTACATAAATAGACTCAATAGCTGAAAGGGGTTGAGCCTTAGGTCCTACAGGCTCACTAACATACTCAAACTCGGACTTGGATGATTTAGATTCATAAAACATTGTCAATGGTGATTTCCAGCTTCTCTCCATTTGGCGTAGTAATCTTCATCGTCTTACGATATCCCTTCAAAATACCTTCAAGTTGGACAATGAATTCAGAGGGTCGTAGTCTTTGCTTAACATGACATTTTGAATGAGCGCAGAGTTATCATCATCGATGAGCTTGAGTTCATTCTTTTTGATCCTAAAAAGAAGATTAATGTACATATCATCAGAGCCTGGACTGGTTGGTTCCCCAATTGTTGGGAACAAATCACCGTCATCAATGAAGTCACAATCTAATAATACCTCGAATCCGGGCTCACGCCTCCCATTGTGGATGATAGGTTTAGGAAATTCATAGCATGGAAGGTCCTCTCCTTCCTTGATGTAATGGCCATTAAGAGTGAGGGGATAGGGACCCATAGGCCTTTTTTCATGGATCTAGCATTGTTGCGAGCCTTCATCTTTAGAAAATCTTGCTTCACATTTTCTTTTGTTAGCTTGAATCCCAAACCAAAAGCGTCCATCTTGGGTGCACCAGGATGGCCCCAAAGTTCAGCCATTTTCTTTTTGATTCCAAGGGTCATTTAAGGAAAATGCCCTTTTTTCTTAATGATTGCATTGATGTTAACATTTGAATAAGGATTAAAGTCGAGGTGACATTTCTTTTCTTCTTCAATCATGAGAACATCTTCCATAGAGAAACCCTAAATATCTTCATCTTCATCATCATGCTCAACATGGACAATAAGGGTGTCAATAACTTGGATACGCATAGGAGAGGAATCAATTGTTATTGGAGCCCGTCCAACTATAGCTTTAACTTTCTGGTGCAACAATGAAGGGATCACCTTTAACTGATGAAGCCAAGGGCACCATATCAATAGATTGAAATAATCCCTTATGTTCACCACTTGAAACTTAGTGCGACGTTCAAAGGATCCAGTAAGGATGTTTGACATGATAGTACCCACGGCTTGACGACGAGTATTATCATAAGCATGGATTCCTTGCGTAGAGGGAATCAATTCTTTATCTTTTATGCTAAGCTTCTTTGAAGTGCGAAGCGGGTATTCGTTAATTGATTCATAATTAACTAGGATCATAGGAATATTCATCTGCCTGCACACTAAAGTAAGGTGTAAGGCCTCCTTGAGTTGATTCCCTTTTGGGGGTAGGTCCTTGTGAGAAAATGAAATTAGATTGTTGGTACTCGATAATTCAATAGTAAGAAAATTGATTAGCCTTTAAGGAGTCATATCACTATCAACTCCTACCTTTAACAGAGCATTCATCATAGCCTTTCGATGCTCATGGGAAGTAAAAAGCTTCCACACATTAATTTCCACCTTGGTCTTTTGAAGATGTTTGATCACATCCTTGTTTAAGGGGTCGATGGGATCAACTACTGGTCGTGCTTGCGGTGGAGGTGGACTAGGTTGTTGTAACCATCCATTCCTAGTGAGGACCTTGACCTCGAGGTCCTCCCCCAAAATTCTTCACTATATTCGTAATTGATAGCGCCAGGCCAAGAGGTGGATATGCTATGTCTTTAAGATAGACGTCTTCATCATCAGTATCCTAAATTCCATTAACTTCTTTATAAATTGGAACAAAAACAACTTTTGGAAGAGTTTCATCTACAGGTTAAATGAGTAGCAACGGATCAAAGGAAACTTCATCTCCTATATTAGCCAAAGCATCCGAAAAGAGGACCTGTTTGAATATTAGGCTTCTTGGCCCCTGGAGGGACAAGCAGCTGATTATCATCAATTAGGTCTTTAATTGCATCCTTTAAATTCCAACATTGTTCAGTATTAGGACCCTTGTCTTAGTGAAACTTGCAATGAGAATTGAGGTCATAGTTAGCAATTGTTTTCTTAGGCGTAGGCTCTGGAAACAACCCAATAGGCATGAT